TGTGACTTTGGAGACGACCTCAACTTTTATCCATTTCGTGAAGTAGTCTACTGCGAGGATTAGGAACTTCAGTTATCTAGACATCTATAAAAAATGACCTAGTATGTCCATGCCCCATTAGTAAAATGGGCATAACTGTTGTACCCCAAAATTTGACCGACCATTTCTTGTACTTGGCTTATGTTTCATTTCATTTTTTGCATTTATGCATATCATAGCATTTGTTTTTGAAGCAAGGGATCAAGGTATTTATGTGACTCAAAGTTCTTTTTTAGTGCAAGAGTCTGCACGACGAGCATCAGGGGCTCCGACATTTATTTTGCCCAGCGATCGAGCGATCGATTTTATTTTATTCAAGAAGATAATTTTCAGCTCAAGAGGTGATAATCAGGCTATCTTAGGCATTTCCATGGTTATAATGTCAAAAGACAAGTTTCATAGACTTAACAGGGCTCAGAACGAGTAAAAGCGGGCAATTGTGCAAGTTCCCTCCAAAAGGCGCCAAAATTCAAATTTTTAAGGCGATAACTGATTAACCAATATGGTTAACCGGTTAACTAAGGCAAAATCAGAACAAATTTGAATTTTCAGAGGCGTTAACCGATTAACCAAAATGGTTAACCGGTTATCCATGACTAGTTTTGCCTCTGCACGTGAATTTCCAATAAATACCACTTTTGGGGTCCATTTTGATCACTTGTGAATTTGACTTTACACCAGAAGAAGGATCTAGAATCACTCTAATTTGGATTAATTTCCAAAATTAATTCAATTTCGCTCCCACTTTCCATTCTTAATCCCATTCCAATTTGTATAACCTCACTCCAAACCATATTCTACTCCAAACCTATAGCATATTTAAGTGAATTTTCTCCAAACCTCACACAATAATCCTCACAATTACATTTCATTTTTAGAATTCACTCTCACTCTTGGAATTTTTCTCTTAACTATTCACTCCCAAAACCCCCATTAGAGCTCTCCCTTGAGTTCTTTAATTCTTCATTGGAATTATAGAATTCTAGAGCTAAACCTCCATCATTTATCTCCATTACTCTCAATTCACCATTCAATTTTCGTTTGGATTTGGATCTGAATTTGGAAGTGCTTATTTGGATCGGTTTTGCTTGATTTTGCTTGATCTTCACTTCTACAACTTGGATCTTGAAGAATCTTTGGGTTTCTTTCTTAGATCTACTTATTTCAAGTGAATCAACACTCACCAAAGCAAATCCCCGCTTTGTAGGTTGGCAATTCTAGATCTAATTCTGATTTGAGCGTATTTTCATAATCACAATGTAGATCTATGGCTTTTGTTGCGTTTTGATCCATTTTGTTGATTTTGATTTTGGATCTTTGTGATCTCAATGCTTGGATGTGTTTACATGTTGTTTGATCACTGATTTTTGGTGTTAAATTTGTGCATAATTGATTACACGATCATTTGGATTATTGCATAATTGATTAATTGCTGAAAGTGCTTTTAAGCTGATGTTTTTTTTTGCTTCTGGTGCAGTGTTAATCAGTTAACCAGTTGTAGTACAAACTGGTTAATCAGTTAACCAGTTGTAGTACAAACTGGTTAATCAGTTAACCAGTGCGAATTTCAAACTTTTTTAAGTGGTTAACCGGTTAACCAATAGCGTTAACCGATTAACACTGAACCAGAATGCGAATTTTGTTTATTTTAAAGCATGTTTGGATTTCTTTTCACATATAACCTTCATGGATTGATATAATGCATTTATGTGAACTGTTTTGGCATGTTTCCTCATTCTTGGATGTTTGCTTCGCATCATAAATCATCTTTGAATCACGTGTCTCCACTTGTTCTAAGTGTTGAGTTTGTGTTTGAATTTTGGTTCATCACTTGTACATGATCATGATTATGATTCCTTCTTGTTTTGGCTATGAATTTGGATCATTGCATTTGTGATTCACTTCTGCCCCATGTGATTTGACACTTGTTCATGATGATTTAGTGCTTATGTTTGCACTTTGAGTTTGTCATGAACATTGGTGTTTGTTTTGAATTGATCATTTGCATTGCTTTACTTGTATTTCAAGAATTGTATGGTTGAGATGTGCTTGTGGTGGTTGCTGCCCCACACTTTTTTCCTCCCTCTTTTCTTTGTGTGTGCATCTTAGGATGACACCTTTGCTTTGATGATTGATGGTTGATGGTTGTAGGAGCTTACTTTTCCCATTTCATCTCATCTCTCTTGCATTTGTGTTTGCATTTCATGTTTGCATCTCTTTTTGCATTTGACTTGTTTAAGTCCCTTTCATCTCATTTTCTTTTCATCTTGTGATTGGATTATCTGTTGTTTACTTGGTCTTTTGCCATGATCCCTTAGGATTCCTAGTCCCTCAGGAGTAGGAGAGACATTAGGTGTTCAATCCTTTGCATGATAACATTAGGATAGATTTCCCCTTTCAATCCCAACTTTAGGAGCATTTTGCATGATAACATTAGGGTTGATCTAGTTTCCCCTTAAAGTTTGTGTCTTCTCTTCTCATCTTCTAAAACATCTTAAGACACTTAATAAAGGATAATAAATGTTGTACGCTACGAGTCTTAAGTACTTGAGGAATGATAGTTGGGGGCCTTCTCTCAATATGTCTAGAGTGTTTAGCGTATGCCCTTTGAGCGATATGCGACACATTCGCTCTCAAGTCATAGTCTTTAGTGCAACATGAGTTACAAACTTAACTCAATTCACTTCTTGTTTAAAAAACACAAAACAAAACATCAAACCTTTTTATCCTTCGGGATTGTTTGGAAAATCATTTTCAGAAAGAGTGTGTGAAGTCTTGGTTCTACCGCAAACAGGCATCGTCCCTAACTGCTAAAATGAAGGTTTAACCCTACGCAGTTAAAACACTTGAACCAATCTGTGGTCGTGTCAACCCGAACTACGTTTGCTCTGATTTCTCATACCAGATGGGGATACATAGGTACAAGACGACAATGTCTTGGTGAACAACCTTCCCCTACCTTCACCCGTAGTTTTCCGAACTACGTTGACTCTGACTTTTCCATTGCACAAGGGAATACGTAGGCATAGAGCGACGATGCTCTATCGAGTCTCTTTTCTTTTCTTTTGTCCTTGTGAGCCAACCTTTTGATAGATTAACACCCTTTTAGATAGACAACAAGAATGGATTCCGTTGAGTACAACGGACGTGAGGGGTGCTCATACCTCCCCCTTGCGTAACCGACTCCCGAACTCAAGATTTGGTGGCGACTCTTCTGTCTTTGTCGGTCCCTCTTTGCAGCGATGCAACAATAACGATGTGTCAACATGAAGAATTTTGGTAGATGTTTGATGTAGGCTAGCGTGCACGGGGGGCAAAGGGGAATTTCCCATCTTATACAGTTTCCCATACATCATGGTATACTTTGTCGCACGTTTTCATATTTTTCCCCTTCCAACTCATCTGATGCACCTATAAGGTGAGCGTATCTCTTGGATTGCCTTTAACATTTGGACTAAGTTCATCGAGATTTGTGTGGACCAAACTTTGGTCCAGACCGGAACAATAATGTCGTTGAATTGATTAATTGAGTGAGTAATCAAAAGTTAACGTATTTATTAGATCACACACTTTTTGTCAAGAACTTAATTAGTCATACGAATTCAAGTTTCCTCCCAATTTCATTAACTAATCATCTTCTCTCAATTCCATCACTCTCAGCCAGTGTCTACAACAAACCTCATACTCTGCCGCATCATTGTAATCCTATAGATTTCCAACATAACATTTTGATTATGATATCCGAAGAAGAACCTCAATTGAATTATGATATGTTTCCATTGGATTCTCAAACAAATACAAGATCCGATTTTGCATGCTCTGAGTTTAGGTTGCCGCCCTAATTCAACGACGTAACATATCATGTCTAATTCGCCTAATGTCTTCATTGCCTCCATACATATCCTCATTGTCATATAAATCCTCTTACTCCTGGATGATACATTTTTGTTATGGAACTCATAATTGTCGTTGTGTTTCCGTTCACAAAGTTCAATCACGATAAAATATTTCTCTAAGATGCACTTTGGAGAAAAGGGAGGATACTCCTCTTCATCAGAAGATGATTAAACAGTTTTGCGAAGAACGAAATGATAATTTGTTGATATTGTTTGTTTTTTTTTTCTTTATGAATTTGTATAATAGTATGAAGATTTGAAAAGATGAATATTTAAAAAAAAAATTTAAAACAGTAACATATAATAAAATTGATATTTTCATTTATTTTTTTTAATTTTAAAAATACATCATCAGTTTTATATATTGAAGTATTAAAAAAATAACTAAAATAATTTTTTAACCTCCACACTGATAATGTATTTATTAACATATTTCCCAATTACCGGTAGATTTTAAGAATAAGTAATACATTAACTAGTCTTCATTAACTTCTAATTTGAATTTTGAATTTACCAATATCTTTTATTTGTGTTTGAATTTTCATGGTTTCCCAAAAAAAAATAAAAAATACAAGCATGAAATGTATCTGGCTTACTTTATGATTCCATACAAACAAAAAATGCATTTGACATACTTTCTCAAAAGAAAAGTAAAATACCGTCATTGATGTTTCCAACTAAAAAAAAGGTGTGGTGTGTGGATACAAATTTGGGGGCGTGAATAGTCAAATCCTCCTAACTAGCAACGTATCATATTTCCCTTCCATTTCTTTCATTCTCTGCACAAATCATTTCTATTGACGCGTTCTTCTCTAACTTCATTCATTTGTTCGTACTCCAACCTAATTTCTCTGTTTCACGATCATTCTCAACACAGGTAATTTTTCACGTTCGATTTATATATTCCGTAACATTGCAAACGTTTCAAATGATTTCGATTTGAAGTGAGTACGAAATTGTGAATCAAGTATTATATTGATTGTGTATGTTTTAACATAATTTGTTGATTTAGATTTTAATTTTAACGATGATGATGATGTTGATGTAGATTTTAGTTCGATTGCGATGGCTAGAAAGATGCTTAACGAAGGTGTACCTGATTTGAATAAAGGCGAACAAGGGAAGAATTATGACTTTGATTTGTTTATTATTGGAGCTGGAAGTGGCGGTGTTCGTGCTGCTAGATTTTCATCTAATTTTGGAGCGAAGGTTCGTAACTACTACATTCTCACTCGAATCTTTTTTTTTTTTTTTTGATGATTTGGATCTGTTTAGATTTGTTTATTTGAACTTTTCTAGTGGCTTAAGCGCGTCAGCGCATGAGATCTACGTAGCACCAACACCTCCAAAAAAGTGTTTCAGTGTAATTATGTTTAATTTATTATTTTTTAAAATTATTACCGGTGTTTATGTGTTGGTGTCGTGTTTTCTGTTTTCGGAGTCCGTGCTTCATAGCATGCGACACTTTTTAAGAGGCTTATGAAAAGAGCTTATTACATGTCCATAATATGTTTACAATTCATTTCGATAAGCTCTCTAGGATAGCTTATAGATTATGCGAAAACGATTTGACTTTATTTTATCTTGTGTTAAAAAACGGCTTATTCGTTAGCGCTTATATGAGAAGTGCTTATGTTATGCTACAAGTTGCAAAATAAGTTGTTTGTTCAAACAGGCCCTTAATATGTTGATGTTGATTAATCTGTGACAACATAATTTGTCTATTATTCTCAAGTGAATATCAGTTACTCTAGGATAGCGTATAATTCTCAACATAATATGTTTATAATTCATTTCGATAAGCTCTCTAGGATAGCTTATAGATTATGCGAAAACGATTTGACTTTATTTTATCTTGTGTTAAAAAACGGCTTATTCGTTAGCGCTTATATGAGAAGTGCTTATGTTATGCTACAAGTTGCAAAATAAGTTGTTTGTTCAAACAGGCCCTTAATATGTTGATGTTGATTAATCTGTGACAACATAATTTGTCTATTATTCTCAAGTGAATATCAGTTACTCTAGGATAGCGTATAATTCTCAACATAATATGTTTATAATTCATTTCGATAAGCTCTCTAGGATAGCTTATAGATTATGCGAAAACGATTTGACTTTATTTTATCTTGTGTTAAAAAACAGCTTATTCGTTAGCGCTTATATGAGAAGTGCTTATGTTATGCTACAAGTTGCAAAATAAGTTGTTTGTTCAAACAGGCCCTTAATATGTTGATGTTGATTAATCTGTGACAACATAATTTGTCTATTATTCTCAAGTGAATATCAGTTACTTATTTTATTTTCTCAAAGTTTATTAAAGAAACTATTAAGAAATACCTAGAGATTAAGGGTCCGTTTGTTACGGAATATATAAAAAGTGATTTTGATATTTAATAATTTAGAGATTAATTTTAGTTATGACATAGGAAAAAACATGATGTAGTTTTATGATCCATCTAGCCGACTATACTTAGTGGGATAAGCCGATTAGGTTTGGTTGTTGTTGTTGTCAGGTTTATTTGCTGTCTTCTAATTATATCCAACATTCTGTGTCTAAAGGTTGGTGTTTGTGAGCTTCCTTTTCATCCTATTAGCTCGGAAACAATTGGAGGAGTCGGCGGCACGTAAGTTCATTCAGACCTTATGCTAATTTCTCTACCAAATTTTTATTTGTTTGGTATTCAGAATATAATGGTTGTTTGTTTGCGACAGTTCACATGTAATATTATTAGTTCTAAATCAATTGCCTTTACCAGCCTTTGCGTCTTAGTTGCAATTTTTTTTACCCAGGTCGTAGTTGTTATTTCTTGATTTTCTAGACCCAGCATATTATATCGTTCTTTTTATTCTTTTTGTTTTATATCTTATTTAGGTTTTAGATTATTTTCTTGTATATCTGATTTAGTGTTATTGTAATTATAATCATCGTAAAGTTGTTTCTGTTACTTGAATTATAATTCTATTTATTGTAAATCTGTTTGTGCTCTAAACAGTAAAATTTATCATCTGTAAAATCTTTTTCAATTATTCAAATTTTGTATTCCATCATCATCTTTTGTTTTTCTGACTTTATGCCGTTTTTTGGCACAAGAATAGTGTGATACAGTAACTACATGTATAACATTATTGTTCAGTCTTTAGTTTTTTCTGTTTGTCCTTCTTGCTCTACCCTGCCCAATAATATCTTAATTAATGATATGCATTATTTATTTATTTCAAAGGTGTGTCATTCGTGGTTGTGTTCCCAAAAAGATTTTGGTCTATGGAGCATCATATGGAGGTGAACTTGAGGTAATGATTGATTCTTGAGTTTCTTAGTAACAACTAATAACACATATTAGTTACTGGATATATTGAGTGATTGTTGTGCTTTGTCCACTTCAGTATTTTTGGTGCATTTCCGTAGAGTGTAATGGATGCTTTTTTCGAGTGTCCATTGCACCAAAATCTGTTTTGGGATGTTATTATGTTTAGTTTGTCTATGTGTTCTACCATGGTTGTTTTCTGGGAACTACCATAACTGTTTACAAAGGGGCTGTGTAGCGTTGTTGCCCTCCTGTTTCTTTTTGTAATTTTAATGGATACTTTAGCTTTGTGATTGCTGTATCTTGATAGGAACTTCTTATCAAAATTCTGTTGTGTATTAGAATTTCTAAAGGAAATGAACTTGTACAAGAAAAGAAAGAGAAGGGCCAAGTCTCCCAAGCCATAGTATACAATCTAGACTCACTATTTCTAATAAGAAACTCAGGGCATACCTCATATTCCGTCTTCCACTACATAACAGACTCAAACCTCTCTCTCTCTGACTAACTCTTCCCCCTCCACATTTTCAGTTTAAGATTTACTTTTGGCGCATGACTGAAGCTCTGGCAGCAGCGCTCTGGTGGCTGCTACTGTGAGATTGTTGAGACCCAGCGACAACCAAACTAGAAGCTACTAGGTTTAGCTTGACGGTGGCTTACCCCAAAAAGTAGGAGTTAGGATATTGGAACCTAGCTTTAGATACCAACTTGAATAATTTAGATTGAATGACTTACATTACACTATGGAGCTGTACAAAATATTTATACAAGAGGATCTTTCAACATAAGGAAAAGAAAGAAACTAAGTATTTATAATGGACCTGTAACTCATGAAAGCTTCTAACTATTACAAAAGCAAGCTTAAGCTGATAGGTGAAGAAAGATAAATTATTTTTATACTATATCTTTAATACATCCCCTCAATTAAGAGCCCTTTGAGCTTGAAACATCAATAATGCATAGACCCTCTTACCTTTTCACTAATATATAACTTTCTTTATTACGAATATTTACACAGAAAAGATCAAATATAGACCATTTAGGCTCTATACCATCAGCGAATTAGCGACTTGAAACTCACTGATTTTTGTTTTTAACATAAAATTTATAAACTTTGTTATTAGATTTGATCTGATGTAATATAGTATTATAGTTGTCGTATTTGGTTCAAATTCTCATCAATATGTGTTGCAAATGAAATCAATATTATATTTACAATGTATCAGTTTTTTCTTGATATTCTTACTGGTGCTAGTTCATGATTATTACAGTATTCTTACTGGTGCTAGTTCATGATTATTACAATATTCTAAGTACTTGTGAGATCATCATTTGCAATTAACTTGTGTTTGGTGATTTAACAAACCTTACTGTGGTGTAATGACAGGATGCTAGAAATTTTGGATGGGAATTGAATGAGAAAGTTGACTTCAATTGGAAGAAGCTCTTGCAAAAGAAGGTATTTTGAGATCTTATTTATTGGTTTGAGTAACATTGAAGTATTTTGATAATATGATTTATTTTCTATGAACATCGTATTAGCTTCTATACTTGGGAACTTTCTTAAAATGTAGTTTGAATAGTCTTTGATTTTCTAGATGTTCCTTTGTTTATTTAAGGCCCCGGAGTTGAAAAGTAAGTGAAAGAAAATCGGAGAGTAATCTCTGAATGCTCAATCTTGATTTCATTTATAATTTCAAATACTTTGGATATTTAATTTAACCAACTGAGCCTGATACTGATTCTAACTGATATAGGCTTCACTGACCTCGCAACTTCAAAATTATGAGAGTCAGCTAAATTAGTCAGCGTAATGATTAGATGTACAGAGGCATGATTACATAGTCTGACTCTTAGTCTTTATAAGCTCTACAAGCATTTTCTCCAGCTTGTCGGATTTTATTAAGCAGAGCAGTTTATTAGTACCAGAAAAAATAAAGGTAGTGTAATTGTCTGTTAATCAATTATCTGTGCTTTGTCAAAATGCAGACAGATGAAATAAACAGATTAAATGGAATTTACAAGCGGTTGTTATCCAATGCTGGGGTTAAACTATTTGAAGGTGAGGGAAAGATAGCTAGTCCAAATGAAGTTGAGGTGACACAATTGGATGGCACTAAGTTGTCCTATTCAGCAAAGCATATTTTGATTTCAACTGGCAGCAGGGCTCAGCGTCCTAATATTCCTGGCCAGGTTGGTTTGCTTGTTTTAATATATCACTGTAAAGATGATGATTACACTTTTATTAGTATAGTAGGAATATGTATGTTAAGATTAAGAATTTCTTCATATGAAATGTTGGAATCTAATCTGGACTTATATCTATTCCACTCACTCATTCTTGACAAATGACTGTTTTTATTCCTAAATCTTCACAAGTAACATTTTGCAATAAAACTTTAGGACATGTAATGAATGTTGTTGATGCTGTCTGCCCTTTCCTGTTTTGTATTATTGTTTTTGACTGTGGGGGTTGTTTTGCAGGAGTTGGGTATAACATCTGATGAGGCATTAAGTTTAGAGGAGTTCCCTAAACGTGCTGTGATCCTCGGAGGAGGGTGTGTCTTCATCTTCTTCTCATGTGTATTACAATAACTAAAGATTATCTCACTAATAAATTTTTTATATGTTTGTGTTCAGTTATATTGCAGTTGAGTTTGCATCGATATGGCGTGGGATGGGTTCCACTGTCAATCTTGTTTTCAGAAAGGAACTTCCATTGAGGTGTGGCTCTGACATGAGTTGAAACTAATGAATTTTAATCTCTCTCATTTTGGATTGATACAATACAAAATACATATATGTCCAATACAGATTATAGAAACCATATATTTTTTTTATCAAAACAAAAATGGAGTGCAGTTACATCACTACAGGGTAGAGGAATTCCAATAATGTTGACACCTCAGAAACCACTAATTTTTTATAAATAAAAAAAATAAGACAAAAAAAACATGGGGAATGGGAGTCCCACCAGTAAAAACTAGGATAAACGTTGCCATAAGCAACTAGTTTATCATAGTATAGATGCGTAGAAAAGGTTGCAAGAAATGTCGCAGTTGAATTAATAGAACTTTTCGTATACCACTCACTCTTAATATCCATTGAATTCAATATTCTTTCTTTTTTGTTTTTGGATAACATCATTTTTTGCTTTCTATTGTATAATTTTTTCATGCTTCATAAATCTCTGTTGCAGAGGTTTTGATGACGAAATGAGATCTGTAGTTGCCAGGAACCTTGAAGGTAGGGGAATTAATTTGCATCCAAGGACAAATTTGACACAGGTATTGCCTTTTGTGACTTGCTACTCGCATTTAATTTGATTTAGTTTTCTAAAATGTGAAATTTTCATTTAATTTCTTATTTGGAGGCATATCTAATTGCAAAAACTTTATTTTAGTTGACCAAAACAGAGGATGGCATTAAAGTTATTACAGACCATGGTGAGGAGTTGATTGCGGATGTGGTGCTATTTGCCACTGGTAAGGATACAGATAACAGACTTCTTAAATGTTTAGTTTCAAAAGGCTGGTAGTGTTAGTATTATTACTATTTACAGTTTAGACTGCTGGATTTCTAAACACCTTTATGATCAATGTCAGAATTTATATTAGCTTTAAAAGAAGAATTCATTAAGAATATCTTTGCGAATTCCAAAATTTGGCGGTGTCTTTCTATATTATCTTTTTCATAAGTCTGTTGGCTAATAATTAGTAACCTGATCGAATCATATGATTGATCAAATTTTATACCTTACCACAGAATTGGAGCATCACACTTACTCTAAGTTTATATTTTCATTAATCTAATGAATAACATATGAAGCGAAGTTTTTATTTATTTATTTGTCTTTTGTTTTATTCTTGAACGGGTGAGAAAATGTCGTGCAAATTTATCTCATGGAACGTTTGCTTTACTGCATTTGAAAGAATTATTCTAGCAACAAACTCTTTTGTCATACCTCTCATTTCAATATACCTTTTTCATCAGTTGAAATTTCCATGTATCCCATCAAAATTTATAGAATCCACATGATTTAGTGAGACTCACTTGAATTTTAGCTAATAGTAGACTGTGTGAGAAGAGTGTGTTGCTAGCTAGTACTTGCTCTTCTGGAATAATCATTCATGTAATGTTGAGTCCTCTTTTGTTGCTGCAGGTAGGGCTCCTAATTCTAAGAGGTTGAATTTAGAAAAAGTGGGTGTAGAGCTTGATAAGGCAGGAGCAATAGTGGTTAGTAGCTTTCTCTTGTTTTCTTCAAGTTTCCATGAAGTCTAAAAACATGTTTTGTTATCAAGCTGCAAAAACCATGATTTAGTTATCGCGTTGTCTAGTCTATTGTGCTGTTATTAATATTAAGAGTTTGTATGGAATTGTATCATAACATGAAATTTGTATATCTAGTGCTCAGGGCCTGCTCATTTAAGCTTTTAAAAACAGATGATCATTGGAGAAGTCATGGAATGTGTATAAGGCGATTTCTCTTTAAATGGTTTTATAATATGTAGGAAGTCATTATTTGTTGGGTTGCAATTATTTATTTTAGTTATAAATATAATACTTCTTTTTCCCTTTCTTGAAGCTACTTAAATAGTAAAAAGAGGAGTTCTTTACTTCTTTTTCTTCATAATTCTGTTTAACTTAAGAAGATTAAGCAATATTATAAGACCTTATAAAAGTGGTTTTCTGGATCTCTTGCGGTGAATCCATAAAATCCTGCCCAAATTTTAATCAGGATAGGCAACAATATCTTTATTCATACACTAGTCCTTTTCCAAGTGATGCTTTAATGAATCTCAATATTTCAACCACTACATAATCATTATTTAAATGAAGATTCAATGGGTGTGAATTTGGAAAGTAGAGTTAAAAAACATAAACCCGTTATAGGAATCACTGGTATTTATTTTAAATGCTTAGATATCGGAGGCTACAATTTATTTGCTTTATCTTGGGTTTGAATATTAATTATTAGTTACAGAAGTCCTTAATGTAAATTTTTCTTCTACTTTTTAGCTTTTATATGCATGGTAGGAATTTTTTGTCCTGTTTCCTTAGACTTATAGTGGCCACATGCTAACCACTACGGCATTTTGGGGGTGAGCTGATATGCTCTGCTAACCACCATCGACTATATAGGAATTGTAAAAGTTCAGTTGCTAGTGAATGATTGAGTCACAGTGACACGGTTCTAAATGTTCTGCGTTTCTTTGTTTAGGTAGATGAGTATTCACGCACCAACGTCCCTAGCATATGGGCTGTGGGTGATGTAACCAACCGATTGAATCTTACCCCGGTGGCCTTGATGGAAGCATCACTCTTTGCAGTAAGTGTTATGCTAATTAGTTGAGCAGCACAATTGTTTATCTTTTGGATTGGAAAGGGAGGTGTTGGAGATTGGTTGATTATACGATGATGTTATTTATTGTTTTTTAACATAGATTTATCTTGTTTTATTTGGATATATTCAGAAAACAGTATTTGGTGGGCAAGCAAGCAAGCCAGACTATAATGACATTCCATATGCAGTGTTTTGGTATAGTTGTACTTATGTGATAAAGCTTGGTTTCTTTTAACAACTATGAATATGTTTTACTCACGATAAAATATCTGCTTCTTTTCTTCTGCTCAAAATTTATCTTTTACTGTTTCTTGGATTAATATATGGCTCATTATTTTTGGTTCTGCAGCATTCCACCACTTTCAGTAGTTGGTCTAAGTGAGGAGCAGGCAGTAGAGCAGACAAAGGGTGATATATTGATTTTCACATCAACCTTCAATCCTATGAAAAATACAATTTCTGGGTAAGTCTAGTAATGTATGAAAATCCGCAAGTGCTGTATGGTTTACGAAATAGTATGGAAATCTATTGTCTACACAACACAAGGATTATTTTTATCTGTATCAGCTAATTATAATTAATTATTGAACGAGAGAAAATATTTTGGTGAAGGAAAAGTTGTAACAACATATAATATTAACAAATACAAATAATTATATAAATACAAAAGAAGTCAGATTGAATTCCCGATTATAGTTAATGCTCTCTCGAAATACATAAACTGTATCAAGAGGAAATTTTAGGATCAGGTTAACCAATGATGCAAAGGATGAAAGTCACATCTAAATGAAAAATTAGTCATCTCTAGATATGCTACAAATGAATACAAAGCAAACATAAAGTGTGATAATATTACAAGTGCATCTTGTAGAGTTTTGGAATTTTTACACCCTCTACCTTCATCGGAAACCAATGACTTGCAGAGTTGAATATAATTTGGATAAGAGCTCTTGTTAGAAATAGTGTTGGTGCATAGATTTTAAACCCACTGTTCATCTAGTGATTTATGATATTTTTTCAACAGGCGGCAAGAAAAAACTGTTATGAAGCTTGTTGTTGATGCTCAGACCGATAAAGTTCTTGGAGCATCTATGTGTGGGCCTGATGCACCTGAAATTGTTCAGGTACAATTATCACTACATTCTCTGCTATCTATGTTGTCAATTGCTTAGGAGCCTATACATTTTCATTTCATCATTGTTATTTGTTATTGTGGGGCCTATATTGTGACTCCGTTATTGTGGGGCCTATATTGTGACTCCAAATATAGAAGTCAAAACGGACACACAAGTAGACCTAAAATTAGAGAGGTAAGAAAAGGAAGCAAAGGAGAAAGTTGTGAAAAATAGGATAGGTGATAACAGTTTTAGTCAATTATGGTTTTGGGAAGGGCTACATGTCTGAGGGGATAGAGTTTCAGGTGAGTCGTGTTAGGTATAGATGCAAAGAAGATTTTTTGTAGTGGATAGGTTCAAATAGAAGGAAGAAAAAACACACCCATAGGAATCTTAAACCCCAAGGGTATTCTATTAATTGAAACATGTTGCTTTAAGTATGACATGTCCCTAGATTTTTTTTGTTGCTATAGTGCTCGGGTTCAGTATGAAATATGCAACTTATCCTAGTTGCTTGACTTCGTTTGTTTGATAAATTTTTTACATATGCCTTTTGGGCCTATATTAACATGCTGATTTTAGGCCACTGTCTTTTACAAATGCTTCCCTTTTTCTTTTCTGCAAGGACTAAGGGTTGTGATTGTTGACTGACGGTTTCAGCTTTTCCTATTTTGAAATTGTCTCCCTTTTCTACCATCGCGAAAGCATGACTGCCTATCACACTGTCAACATTTCAACATATGACAATCTTCCAATAACTAGAAAATGGTTTATTATAGCACATGGAATTCCTAATGTACATTTACTAAATCTTGTTAAATACATAAAGTAGAAAATAAGGGTGATTGAGAAGTTTTGTATTCTTACATTTTTTTAATGCTCCTTTTGTCTTGGCAAAGTAAATTATGAATAATACATTATTTCTGTTCACTTTGCTTTCTAACAAAATAATATTTCTTAATTAAAAGAGAAGGAAATTTTCCTACTTCCACCTTATCCCGAATTTAGTTTCAGTTATAATAAATAGTAAGATCATTGACATATCTATCTTGTTGTATGCATCCTTCTATAAGTTATTGCTCATTGATTTTTCTATATTTATTTCTACCTCTCTTGATTCTATAATTCATGATAATAATATTGGTGATCAACAGGGTATAGCTATTGCAATTAAGTGTGGAGCTACGAAAGCGCAGTTTGATAGCACCGTAAGTTCACATTTTCTTGATTATTCCGACCTGTCTCTTTTTAGAACAGTTATAGGATGTCGTTGCATCTCTACCCTCTGCATGACAAACCAAGTCATTCATCTTGTGTTTCATCAATATACTCTTGCCCAGACAAATTCCAAAATAAACTTTAGAATTGTCTGTGTTAACATCATTTAAGTTGCTTTTATCTTTTCTTTTCTACATCACATTCCTTCAACACACCCAACAAAGCTGCTTTATAAATGCGAGACTCCCACCACCGGGTGTGCCAATGGCCTAAACACGTGTATAAATGAAAACAATTCTCACCTTACAAATCGGTTTTGTAGAGTTGAATGGAGTTGAATTTAAGTTTTAAGATGGTATCAAAGCCTATCATTCATACAGAGATAAAATCACATAAACAGCTGAAAATCTAGTTACACTAGGCCTTATCAAATGCAGATCTTTTTGTTTTGTGATGGATTGGAGTACTCCGTGTTCTCTCCACTAATAGATTTGCTTATTAAAAAAAGGTTCGAGGGAAAAAGAATTATCCTAATTATTTAGGTATTAATAAATAGTGCAACAACCGAGTTCTAATTACTTTGCTTCTTTATGTAGGTTGGAATACACCCATCGTCAGCTGAGGAATTTGTGACCATGCGCTCGGAGACAAGGCGTGTTACAGGTGGTGTGAAGCCAAAAACAAATTTGTAAACACGTTTTGATTAGTTATTTAAATAGAAAATAAGATCAAGTCACATTGGTCAGGACTTACGTGCATGTTTCTTTTCTTGGGCATTAGCCCCTTCGATTTTGTAAAATCATCTAAATATAAACTATGTTGTTAATAGGGTAGCTACAATACTAGAACAACAAAGAGTATTCTCTTATCGTAATGAATATGTTAGCTCATTCTTCCCGTCTGATATCATTCTGGGTCTTCCTAACAATAATTTGATAATGACAAGAATTGTATGCTAACTCTTGTGTGATTCTTTTGTGAAATGCACTGAATAAGTAGTTTTATAGTAATTCTGTACATGTAAATTATATGCAATTGAATTTCAAAACTTAAAATGAGAATATAATTGCTTCAAGCTCCATCCATTACAAAATACTATTTCAATGTTGTAAAACAGCGAAAAAATATTAACTTAGTCGTGTATATTGTACACTTCAATCGAAATGTGTAAATCTAAGAAACACTTCCAAGGCGAATTTAACTTGCCATCCCATTTATACAAGACATCCTCAAAATTTTAAAAAGTCTCTTGCCATTATTTACCAATTAAATTTTATTTTTCTTCTAAAATTTTCATTCCTATTACTTTAAAAAATGAAATGAAATTTTATTTTTCTTCTAAATTTTCACTCTTATTACTTTAAAAAAATGAAATTTCTAATATACATTTTTTAAAATGCTTGCATTTATACTGGACATTTGAAAAATTTTGATAAATTTTTTTAGAAAATCTAGTATTTTCTTAAGAAATCTTAAATCCATATTAAAAATTGTCAAAAATTTTTTTGGGAAGAAACAAAAACTTTTGAAAATTTGCAAATTTTAAGAATACCGGAAATTTTGAATTATAAATCAAATTTTTGGTATTAGTATAATAAACAGGAAAAATGTTTTATTAGTGTGAGGGTCATTTACAAATTCGTGTATCAGTTGTATATAATTCTTCACCACTGACACAATATATTTTCTAAGTAACAAGTTAAATTTAAATATTTTCCTGCCTTTATATAACATTGATAACTAAATGGCAGATATTTGAGTTCCGATCTGAAGTATTAGCATGAGCACAATATTGGCAAATAACATGGTATTATTGTTGTGATTGTTCGTTCCGATAATGCAATTGACAAGCGATGTAGAAAAGATAAATTGATTATGGGTTGTGAGAGAGGAGGAAATTATAAAAGGAAGAATGCATTTGAAAGCAGTAAATCCTCGGAGATAATTTATATTATGAAAGTGAAATGTCCTTTTAGGTTGAGATTTACGCCGAGCGGTAGTGGTTGGAAGGTGATAGTTAGGCGTGAGTTGCACAATAATAAACTATCTAAGGCTTTAGAAGGCCATGACATATTAAACCGTCTAAAAGTTCATGAAAGACGGTTTGTGAATGACATGACGAAGTACAATATGACTCAACGGTACATAGCTTCTGCTTTGGAAGACAAAGATTCAGAAAACTTCACAAGTCTTACCCAAGTGTATAAAGCTAGAGCTACATACAATGCGAGTAAGAGAGGTCTATTGATGAAAATGTAAATGTTTTTGACTCTTATTCATAGAGAAAAATACATGTGCTGAACTAGAAATAGGGAAGACTCAAATGTTGTTGCTGATATCTTCTAGGCACATCTTGATTCAGTAAAGTTGTTGAATGTGTTTCATTTGGTATTGATTTTTTATTGTACGCACAAGACAAATATATAATGTGCATCTTGATCATACTTTGATATCATTTTGACATATTTTAATTTATCAAATTTTTGATTATGTGCATCGTGATCTTAACTGGCTACCGCTGTTTGAGATTGTTAGTGTTACATAAACAAAATTGAAGTTTTCGGTAGACTTTGCCTATTTGGAACATGAAAGTGAGGAGAACTTCAAATGAGCATTGGAGAAGCTCAAATAGTTGTTCTCTTCCGAAAAATTGCTACCGAAGGTTGTGGTAAGGGAACGAGAACTCGCATTGATGAATGCTATTGAAGTTGTGTTTTCAAATTCAACTCATTTGTTATGCTCATTCCATATTTCAAAAAAGGTTAGCATTAAATGTAAAGAGTATGTTAAATCAAAAAGACATGAACATGTCATGGATCTATGGAGCAACATTATGTATGCTAATAGAGAAACTGAGTTTGTCGCACACTTGAAGCACTTTGAGACTGTTTATGCTGATATTTCTTTGATTGTTAAGTATGTGAGTGTAACATGGTTGACACCTTATAAAGAAAGGTTTATTGTTGTTTGGACTAACAGAGTCACTCATTTAGGGAACACAACAACTAACAGGTACACAAACGTCCTTTTGATGTTATTACATTACTAAACATAATTTATCATGTTGACTCGTTAAGGTTTAATTATGGTTTTTAGGGTGGAGTCTGCTCATTGGAGACTAAAAAACATGTTGACTACAAGCGGGGGAGATTTATTCCAAAGTTGAGATGTTGTGAACACCATGTTGAAGTTGCAACTAGGTTCAAATAGGGTCTCGTTTCAAAAAAGTATTATCAACATTCAACATCGGTATAACACTCCATTCGATACCAACTTGCACGGTTTTGTTTCAAGGCAGTGTATATAGACCATTAGAAAGGAAATAGAAAGGGTAAAATTTATTGGTACAAGCAAATATGCTTGTGGTTGCTTCATTAGAAAAACACATGGGTTATCCTGTGTGTGTCAACTTGTTGGTTTCCAAATACAAGGAAATCCTTTTCTCTTTAGATCTAATTCGTATTTTTTGAAAGAAATTACACATTGAAAAGCATGATGTCAGTCATGAAGAAAGTGGTACATAGTTGGATTTAGAAGCAGAGTGTGAAGGGTTGGAGACATATTTCAATACTTTGGATCTTATAGGCCAGAGGGTGTTAAAGAAAAATATTTGGGAACTAACACATCCATCCACAACTTTTACGTGTCCATCGGTGAAGTACAAGCCAAAAATGGGAGTTAAGAAGAGCAGAAAGGGTAAAGAGAGTGATGTGCATCATGATCCTTCATAGCGGGAGTATGATGAGGGCTCACAAGGGAGTCTCACTACAAAGAGATCATGCACGACAGGAGGTCACCTATCAAATATATCGGGTCAAAGTCAACCGTCGACTGCATCTTTACTTGTCTCAATTTCCTGTTTTCTTGCATCCATACATTGATGACATTGTTGATATGGGTGACGATGGAAATTGTGGTTTTCGGGCTATTGCAAATTTGTTTGGATGAGACGAAGAGTCACAACCGTTGATTCAGATGCAGTTAGATACTCAAGTTTATCAACACCCTAAATTCTTTTCCAATTTGTTATGTGACATGGTCTCTAAAGTTAGGAATGCCTTACGAGTAAAACACTTGGGTGTGTTGGATACTGATAAATGGATGATGATTCCTGATATGGGTTATCTTATTGCTTGTAGGTACAATGTCGTATTTGTCTCCCTATCAAAGAGACTTAACATTACCTTTTTTCCTTCTTACCTTAACTCCACCTATGTATACGAGCAGACATAAAATCAATGTTGTTGGTTTTATCAACAACAGTCATTGGGTTCAGGTAAAGTTGAAACCTGATAGTCCATTGTCTTCCGTCACTGACCATTGGAGACAGAAGTGTCATGAAGATGCAAAAGTATGAGAATCAACATATGCAGGACGAATTAGGTACTGAAAAGATGAAGTTAGGAAGTCATTTTAATTTATTTTGTAATCTTGTATGTAGCATAACTTTTGTGGAAAATATGTATTTATTATATGTGGTATCTTTTTTTTTATCCAAACAGTTATACAAGTTTCTGTGAAAAATACCAAAAATTTAAGTTTTCTTAAAATTCTGGACTTATATCGGATATTTTAAAATTTTCGGAATGTTATGACATTTTACGAAAATTTCATAATTTTCGGTATACCTCTACCAGAAATTGTAAAATTTTCGATTTTTTTGAAAATTCTAAATTCACGGTACATGCGGTAAAAAACTATAAATTTAGAAAATTTCCGATATAGACTCAAAATTTCAGGTAAAAACCTGTAGATTTTTAAAATTATCAAAATTCATCCAAGGGTATAACAGTAAAATTGCTTGAAATACGGGGTGTCTGGTTTAGGGGTGTGTGTGTGTGTGTGTGTGGGGGGGGGGGGGGGGGGGTGTAACACCCCAAATTCTTGGAATATTTATTTAATTTATTTAAATATGAATATTCATATTTTTGGTAATTTTCGGTGGTTGGTGTGAATATCGGAAATTATGGAGTTTTGAGTTATTTATTTAAATAATAGTATATAATATGAATATATTTGGTATTATTATAAATTTAGATAAATATAAGTTAACTTAAAGGTAAAGTGGACATTTGAGGAGGAGTTAGTGAGGGTGAAATTGGAAAGCCCATTTTAAAGGCCCAAAGTTAGGTTTAACAAAAAAATTTTTTTGACAGAGTTAGGATTCATTCTTGGTAGACCGTGAAAACGAAAGAAATAAAGGCCAGAGCTCTGAGAAGAGGATTGAGGCAAAAGCTTCGCGAGGTTTCCAAAAATCAAGGAGGAAGGCTTATAGTCGACAATTAAGGTATGAGGAGTATTGCCTTCATTGTCTTCAATATGTGATTCAATGTATTTAAAGTTGATTTAAGGATTTAGGAGGTTTGAGTTTGAGAAAATTAGGCCTTCGTGGCCAAATATGTTTTTGAGGTTGTTTAAGTATAGGGATATTACCTTCATTGTTTTCAATATGTGATTCAATGTATTTAAAACATATTTAAGGGTTTAGAGATTTTGAGTATTGGATTCTTGTTGCCTTTCTGGTGAGTTTAATGAGTTTGAGGGATTTGAACTGATGGTCTGATAGGTTTGAGTTTGATTTGGGAGTAAAGGGAATTAGACATTCGTGGCCAAATTTGTTGTTGAGGTTTTAACCGTGTAGGGTAAGGGATTATGAGAACTCTAATGAATGTGGGGAATTTGTAAGGATTTA